ACAAAATTTTATCGTCTAAATGTTTGTTATTATTAAGAGGAAAGGTCAAAGTATTTTTGGGGTATTTTTTTTTCCATTTTTAATCGTTCCTAGCACGTCCGAAATTTTCGTTAAAAAATCTAGTTTTTTTGAGTCAGCAAAATTGACCATTTTTTTTCCATTTTAAAAAAAAAACTGGAAATCTGACTTTGAAATCTTTTTTAAATATCAATTATCATTTTTTCAAAACTTATTTTAAGAAAATCAGAAATTATAATGTTTATTTAAAATATTTTGAACCAAACTTAACTTAGCTTTTTGTGCCAAAAAGATGTAATTTGAAAATAAAACAAAGCAGGTCATAAACTTTCGCGTCTCTTGACATGTGATGAATGATATATTTACTTAATTCCATGAGGCTAATTTGTTCTCTGGAAGGAGAAAAATGAAATAATTTACATTTACGTGAACAAATTATTTACCCCGTTATTTTTAACGTAAAAACTTTCAGCGGGTCTAATTTTTTTTTTTTTTTTGTACTTTACGTTTATGATGCTTTATGGGAAATATATTGTAAAGAAATTAAAATAAAACTGTTAAGAGTGACATTAAATTTCATATTTCTTAAGGAAGGTATCTAATTAATTTATAGGTACCTTTCTTCTGAAATTTTATCAGAATTGTACATAAAATACAATAATTTTATGTACATTTATTACATTCTACTGTTATTTGTATTTGCATTCATTTTATTATTAATTTTGATATTTCATTTATGGAAAAATGTCGTAACTGAGATTAATATAAAAATAAGATCATATAAATTTCATAAGATGATACTGATACTTGTAGGTACCCTTCTCAGTTGAAATTGAAAAATCAAATTAACTTCTCCACATGTGTTTCAAAAAAGTAAAGGCCTTAACAGCGGAGAACAATGCTTAACTCAAATAACGCAACTTAATTATATTCTGGTTGGTCTTCCGTATTTTATAATTACAGCTCGATTATAAGCACAAAATTACATTTCTTAATTACTGGGGATCTTCTGATTAGTCAAAATGATACAATTTACAACGCGCTAAAAAAAAGATCTATCTCATAAGGACACTTATGAAAGCCGATCTGACTTTTTAACTAATTTTATAATATTTTAATAACTTAAATGTAAAATCTATTATAATTAATGAAATAACAAATAATTGTATTAAAAATTCATTTTTCATTGAAAAAATTTTTTTGCTTTCAGAAAATATTGTCCATATTCATAAAAACAACTAAAAGCAAATAAAAGCATTTGAAATTAAATAATATCTTTGTTTTATTGAGTTTTGTATGTTACAATTCAGAGCTGATTTTCAGGTACTGCATATCCAATTAAAAACTAAAAAAAACATGATTTGCATTCCTCAAAGCTTTTAATTATTGTAATCACTAAAACCGATGCGATCGAATTTCTAGCGTTTTCATAAAATTAGTTATGGGGGGGTAATAAATATTTTTAAAAAATATTTCTACCATGACTTTCATAAAAATAACATATTTATAATTTCGATCATCTGTGAATAGTTCCTGAAAGTTTCATTAATATCCGATAATTATTTCTATTTTTGCACGATTTTTCAAATTAATGTGTGTCATACCAAAAAAAACGTGCTAAAAATTGTCTATGTTATTTACTAGTTCGCTTTGATACAAATAGAAAAAAGGTTTTTTAATCAAAATTTAGAATGTTCTAAAAAAGAAGGAAAATTTTAAAAATAATTAAAAAAAACTTTGGTCTTTCCTCCTTAATAATAACATAAGCATTTAGACAATAATATTTAGTTTTCGGCAAGGTTGGCGTCTTTTTCATCAAGCTATGCTCTTTTTTTAGCGATTTCGTGGAGGTACCTAAGTTAAATGTTTGAATGCCAGCCCGGTCAGTAGTAGCATTCTCGAGCCACTTGGTGTGATGGGCATTAAAGTCACCAAACACGAATATATGAGCAAACGGGTGGAGAGAGAGGGCCTTGTCTATGCTGTCAGATATGCTATCAAGTATCCCACAGTCTTGAGAGGATGGAGAGCGATAGAGGAAGAAGAGATAGCTTACGGCATTGAGGAGAGATAGTCTGAGACACATGTACGACAGGTCTGGCGATTCGAGAGACAGCTCTCTGGCCAGGGGGAGATGGTCCTTGACATAGACACCAAGGCCGTGCATGTGGGTTAGAGAGTCTTTCCTGAGGAGAGGAAGGTAGCCAGGGATCGAGAGAGGAGGGAATAGACGAGACAAGGTTTGTCTCACACAGAGCCAGTATATCCGGGCAGTTTGCAGTGAGGAAAGATTCCAAACTGCAGAAGTTTGTTCTAATGCCACGGATGTTGGCTTAAACTAAATGTTGAGGGGTTTAGGTGATTTTTTATGGGCTGGTTTAGGTTTACTTTTTGATTCATTCGAGTTTTCATGTTGAGTGATTGTTGGAAGATGAGAAGGCCTGAAGTATAGAGAAGCAGATGGTTATCGACCGCAACGTGAGCAGAGAGAAGTTGGCACAGTCTGCATCATAGTGTGGCCTCAGGGTTGCCCACCGGAGGTGGCTGCAGGGACACCGATCCATGCGCGTCATGGCACTACAAACATCCCGGTATTATACAACTGTTGATCAAAGCGGCCGCTTAAGACACTACGCAAGAGTTAGGGCTCCTAACTACCAGTCGGAAACAGCAACCAGTGAACTGTCAACCGTGTACCCTCAAAATGAAGAGGCAATGCCACAGACTGCGCACATCACGGGAGAAACACATCAGTACTCGTACAGAGGCCAGAGAGAGAAAAGTGCCGGGAACCCCTTCTTAGACAGGAAACGAGGTGTGAGCCTCTGTGCTTGTCCAGGGGAAGGGGGCGGAGTGTTGACCGGGCGGTAGGAGGGTCTACCTACTCCTATTACATATAACACATAACAGTGACAATAGACAAACAGATAAGGGCCGGGAAGTAGTTGGTAGTGCCCATTCTGGCACTATATACGCGTTAAGGGGGATAGGATGGAATATTTTAGCATTTTATATTTATACAACACTAAGTTTTAACTTAGTGTAAGTCCCAATGTTCTATTCTAAGGAAAGGGACATTTTTTTTTTTCCAGAGGTAGGGGGGACGATTTCAAACTACACAAACAAGTATTAATGTTAAATTAGTGGAGTGATCAAGCAACAATAGCTGAATAGAATAAATAAAAACATGAATATATATATATATATATATATATATATATATATATATATATATATATATATAGAGAGAGAGATATGCTATTGGATGCGTCTTTGGTAGAATGAATTTATACTCACACATGGCGGAAAGTTATTCTTCGTGTCAATTCGGTGGGACCAGTGATTGTACGGCTAGCCATGTCTCGGACCCAAGCGTCAAGTTACAGATAACGCAGTGCTGGGGGGGGGGAGGTCAGTGACCATTCCTACCCTTCACCAGCAGTGGTATATATATATATATATATATATATATATATATATATACAAATTGTTGTAGTAAGATCAAATTGGCAAATTCTTGTGAGTTGAAGAGGGTGTCATGTGTTTCTTCCTCCTCTACTCAGAAAATATATTGTTAGTTTTTAATATTATTGCATTGTATGTTTTTCTGTTTGTGAAAGTTCAGTTCATTTTCAGATGAGAGAATCAAAACCTGAAAAATAACTTTAATGTAATTTTTGGGGACTTTTATCTCATGTAAAAATGAATTGAATTTCCAAAAGCATAAAGACAGTAATTTTTAGTTCCTTACTTCTACATTAATACAAAGTTTTCTTTACATGCAGAGACTATTGTCTTTATCTTAGTTATCATCATCATCATCACAATGATTTGCTTCTTGTACCCTTTGACCTTCATTAGATGTATAGCGAACCAAATAAGCTACATGGAATTTCAAACTAAATCCTCTATTTATGGGTATAGATTGTTCTCGTTCCACTATTCATGTCCAGGGATATCTCATCTAGTTCTTATTTAGTAACTGGTTGGTTGCTGATCATCCTGTTTCCACTGAGTCCAAGTGCACACTGACTGTAGATCAGCTGAAACGTTCATTTCTGTAGGTTACCCAGATTGACATTACATCTAATGAAAACTGAAGAGTACAATGGTTGAAATGTGATCATAACAACAAACATGAGGACAATAGGCTGAATGTAAATAATTATTCCTAATACTACAAATTCAAACATAGTTTTATTGTCAACAAACAATTTTTAGATTTATAGAAATTTATATGAAAGTACAAAAAAAAAGTTAATATCAGTGGGATTTGCAATTTAATAATTTGCAAATTTTTCAATAAAAGGGATTTAATTCAAATTTTTTCATTATGAGAAAAACAATATGGATAAAAGAAAGCTTTTATGCAATTAAATAATTGAAAATGAAAATCGGTTTAAAAGAATTGATCAAATTTTAGGTTTATATTTAAAAATGGTTGGCTAGAATAACTGGTTAGAGTTTTTAATGCATTTCTCATTATCCATTTCATACAATGACAATATTGATAAAAAAACAAAACTTTTGAAAGTGACTTTCATTTTATTTTTACTGTATTATAAAAGCATGAACCTATGATTAAATTATTTTATTTTTCTCATGTATATTGTTCTTTAATCAATAAACAGTTTGAGATTCCCTTTCTAATTAATAATGTAATTCAATCTTTTTTTCTTTTTTCCACTATAAAACATACTGACCAATTACACTTATTACTAGTTTGTGCATATATGTGTATGCACGTGCATATATACACAAGAACAGGATACTGGAAAGTTCTCAATCCAGCCAGGAGACCATTCACCACACCAAAGATTTAATGCTTGATTATTTAGTCAGATTTTGCTAACTTTGACTTTTTAGTACATTCTTGTAGAATTTCTTTTATTGTAGAATGAAGGAAAAATTTATCAGAAGAATTGTACAACTCTGTAAAGTAATTGTCAATGATTTCCAATGTTTTTTTGTGTTTCTTTCAGTTCTCTGGTGTTTTGAGTCTTGCCGCTCGACTTTATTCTACTGTTGTTGACAGTGCAACATTTGAAGTTCAGGTTAGTGAGAATTTCATAGCTTTTTTTTTTTTTTTTTAAATTTCTAAATAATTTTATATTTTATCCCCAAATACAAAATGCTTTTATTTCTTTTTGTTTTGTTTGAATGGATCTAAACTGATGAGTAAATATCTGGATTCAGTTAAAATGGTCAAGGTCAAATTTTTTCAGCAGCTATTTTAATAATGAATGAAAAAAAAGAAAAAAAAACAAACTATTAGATAAGGATTTGTCTGGAGTGAGTTTTTTTTCCAAAAAAATCTACCATGTCTCTCAGCTACACAGCATCTCTGGTTGACTGACAAGCATACTTATTTATGGCTCTGTCTTTTGACTCCTTATGCAGAAACATCCTTTTCTAGTCATAGGTAAGCAGCAGTAAAATTTCCACTTTGTGGTCGTTAAGAAAATTAGACTGAGTAATAGTCAGTTAGTGACCACATTAGTCTTATAAAATATTTTCTTTTCTTAGTTGGAAATGGATATTAAGTTATCCACAAGATGTCACAGGATTTTGAGAAATGAGCATGATGCATTTGTGTGTTTTGCATGTAGGCAGGCATTTGCAATATGGAAGGTGAACATGTAGGAGTGCAATCTTATAATACTCTTGATTGATTAATATTCAGGAGTTCAGCATGCATTTAAGGATTCACTTGAAAAGGCATGCAATCCATGACCAGCAGCTTTTGTGACTGTCTAGTATCTATGGTAGACCATGTGTTCCATGATTTATGGTGTTGGATTGAGTTACTTTTCTTTGAAGTTTCTGTCTGTGCTTGTGTCATGAAATTGGTCTACTTACAGGACAAGAACATTATTCCTTTCATTTTGATTATTGAACACTTGAGGTAGATAAAAAGCTTCCAATAATTTTGGCCAAAACTTGGATGGGGAAAATAATATGGAGGTTGACTGAAAAGTGAAGCAAGTAAGCATAATTTAACATTAATTAATGGAATTATGAAAGAATTTTAGATGAGCTTGTGCCATTGGATATTTTGTTTGAGCAATTTTTGTCATCTTGACACAATATTTCATCAGCTGCTTCAGGACAGTGATTGTTTTCACCATCACTGAATTCGTATTAGTGAAGGGGGAGAAAAATTGGAAAAGAATTTGTGTCTTCTGTGCAGTCTGACGGCAAATAAAACCAAGATGGGGTTGACTTTTGTTGGCCATTAAATATCATAATTGCTTTCCTTCCAGTCTAACCCAATCGCAACCTTTCTTACCCCAATAAAAGAAGGCTACTTTGGACAACAGGAGGGTGTTGGCTTTTCATGGGTGAAGAAGGTTGACTCCTTCTGATTCACCCCCACCCCCCAATAAATCCCACCCTGCATTTTCTGACGTTGAACATGAAAGGCAGAGTTTTTTTTTTTTTTTTTTTTTTTTCTTAGCCTTGTTCCTATTTACCTCACTGATTCATTCATTGTTGGAGTCAGTACAACTGACCCCCCCCTCTCCCTCCAAAAAAAAGAAAAAAAAAATTTTGAAAGAACTTTCAGTCACTCCAAAACAGATTTGTACAAGTTGTGAATTTTTCTATTTAGACAAGTGAAGAAGAAAAAAAACAAAAGAATTCAACCAGATTTTGTCCAATTTTAAGTTAACACACCACAAAGTGGAGCATTTAACAGCTTCTCTTTGATACTTGAAGATGAAAACAAAAAAAAATGTTTTAATCCAATCTACTTGTACAGAGACTTTTTTCTTTTTAAATTGTCTTTTTTTCTGAGTTGATTGGATTTTCTGATTATAATTTTTAATTTTCTTTCCAGCCTTTTAAATTACATAAACTTGACGATGGCCCAGCTACCTCAGTAAGTCTTACCAGGGAAGATGCTCTTCTTTACTACAAACAAATGCAGACAATTCGTCGCATGGAGACTGCTGCCGGCAACTTGTATAAATCTAAAGTCATCCGAGGTTTCTGTCATCTCTACTCGGGACAGGTACTTGCTATTCTTTTTTTAAGAGTATGTGCTAATGTAGTTGTTGTTGTTGTTTCTTGAACTGGTCAAATGAATATTTGCTATGCTTAAATATTTTAGACATTTACCTATTAATCATTTTTCATAATCCTCAAATGTCAGCTCTTCATGTAATCCTGTACTCTCAAAATAAGAAAAGAAGGGGAGTGGGGGAAAAAGATTCTCGTTGCTTTTTCATCTTGAAAAGTGTCAAAACTAGAAATCAAATTCTTGGGATTCAATAGTATATCTTTCCACTAATTTAGAATTTAAGAACAATTATAAAAGAGTTTCAAATATTATTGATCATAATGTATTTCAAAAGTGAACAGTATTTTATCTTCATTAACATTTAGCTGATTCCATGGAGTTTGTTGAATAGAAAGTGACATGTTAAAAGCAAAGTTTTTACTTCAACTTTCTCTGTTTAATGGCATATCAACCCCTTATGGGCCATTTTCTTAGGAGCTTTGAAGTAATAAAAATATATGTTATTCTGCCTTTACAATTGAATACATGGTAGATGATACTCAGCTTTTGTGTATATATACATGCTTCTGTGGTCATGACTACTAGAGTTGGTGATATTTGTGTTTTATTTTGTAGTTTTGTTGAAGTTATATTTTGGAATACAGTTTGATTTTCTTTAAGAAATTGTAGGACATTATATCAATTAATATCATGGAAGAATTTTTTCATGTTGGTTGTTTGGTTAGTGGCATATCAAGCATGAGTTATTTAATACCAAAATCTAAATGTTTTCAACTACGGCTAAAATATATTGTTGGTAATTTTACTAAATATATTTTTATATTTTTATAGTGCTTTATTTTGCTTGGGGGTTCACTATTTGCCTATGTCTGGGACCCTAACAGTTAGAGTGGACCTGGGAATAACAACAATTAAGAGGGGGTTCCATGTTCCTCAAAACCTCCAATCTCCCAATCAGAAGCCTTGCTGCCAGATGTAGTTTATCATCATACACAGGACTTCTCCTGTTTGTCTTTCCAGTAAGATTTCAAATGACTACACAATGACGATAATTTCCACAACTCTGTCTTCACCTTTGTTTTACTTTGGTATTTTATAAACTCCTTAGCTAGATAAGAATGTGTTGCTTTATTTTTTTTTTTTTCTTTCTTTCAGTTGGTATTTATGAGGCAGAAGGAGGTGGAAAAGGATAAACTTTCCATTTCTGGTGGAAATAATCTGCATTTATTTTATTAAAAAAACTCCTTCAATATGTGTGTGGTTCTTGCCTAGGGTAGTAATTGGCCACTTGGTAATAGTAGGTCTACTAGTAGAATCCTTCTTATATTTGGCTACATTCTTTGATTGCAGGAAGCTTGCTGTGTAGGAATGGAAAATGCCATTGAGAAGGATGACGCTGTCATCACAGCCTACCGTGCTCATGGCTGGACTTATATGCGGGGTGTTCCCTTAGTGGGCGTCTTGGCGGAACTGACAGGTTTGTTTGCTTTTTTTGCTTTACTCCCCTCATCATCCCAAATGTTTAATGTTGAATTGTCCAACTGGCTGCATGAAGTCAGCAAATTAAGGTCAGATTCTGGGTCAGAGAGAAGAGGGAGGGGGTGTGTTGTTCACAATAGCCTCTGGAAAGTCATGGAATTAATCTCTTTTCCCAACAGCTATACTTACCTTTTTTTTTTTTTTTTTTTTTTTGTGAGCTACCAGTCGTGGAGAAGGGCAGTTCTGAATTCAAAATTATGGAGAAGATAATTGGAGAAAACACTCCATTATCTTTTGCAAGAACAATCAAGGCCATGCACAGTTTACAGGTATTAAAATGAAAGTGTGGAGGGCCGTGATTCCTTGTATCCTGAAGTCATATGACAGTTAAGCAGAGATGTTCAATTATAAACTTTGTCAGAAATAAATTCTTTTTATATGGCTCATGATATATCTTCTGATCCATTTGACACAAGATTAAATTTCATGATCCAATATTTTTACAATAAAACATTAAATAATCGGGTAAAATTTTCAGTTCATATGTTGTAGAAGTGTCAGCTTATAATATCGATCTTTATTAAAAATATTGATAACATTAACTAAATGCAACATGTAGTTTTATGAAATGGACAAAGTCCGACTATTATTTTATGACATTTTTTATGTTTATATGTTTTTTTTTTATAGATACAAATATTTGAGTAAATGCTCTGTTTATAATAAACAGTATTAATGACATTTACCGGCCTGAATGTCTGAGAAATTTTCATAGAAAATATGCATCCTCCGACAGGAATCAAACCTGTATCCTATATGGAACCGTCATATAACCTGATGTGCTTTACCTAATAAACCACAGAGGAGCGTTTCAGTTAGCAAGGTTGATTTTACTGTTTTTAAACTACAATTCTCCATGATTTTCTCTTGTACTTTCATATCTGCTCGATGCATATCCAAATGTAAACAAATGACGTCACACAATTATGAAATGGACAAAGTCTGACAATTATTTTAAGACATTTTTTTATGTTTCACAACATTTCGGCTATTGTACACTCCGGACTTCTTTAGTTAGTTGGAATGTCAAACCCTTTATTTCGCTTGCTGGGGTAGACTGTTCTATAAAAAGAATGTCTAAACATAAAAAATGTCTTAAAATAATTGTTGGACTTTGTCCATTTCATAATGTGTGACATCATTGTAAATGTAGTTTTATTTATAAATTAAAAGATATAATCCTTATTTGGTTTTCATGTTCTGTATGCCTGAATGAACACTATTTACATTGCTGGGACTATCATTCTCATCTTTGTTGCCATATTTATGACGTTTTGGCCATTGTACACTCTGGCCTTCTTCGGGTGGTTGGAATGTCGAACTGAACCCTTTATTTCACTCGCTGGGATAGACTGTTCTAGTTCCACGTGCCATGTTTAATGGATGTCAATTATCAGTTATCGCCTGTTAATTCCCCTCTCCAAGTTCTCCACTGCCTTAACCAGGTATTGAACTCACACTCTTTGGGTCCTGTCACTGGATCTAATTAACGCCTTTATCCACTGTGCCATGTGTCCTTGAGGAAAATAAAGGTTCAGTTCAACATTCCAACCACCTGAAGAAGGCCAGAGTGTACAACAGCTGAAACGTGATAAATATGGCAAAAAAGTCGAGGCTGATAGTCCAAGCAATGTAAATAGTGTACATAATACCTCATCACAGAAATATAGACAGATAGCAAAATTTATATATACATATATCTGAATGAAATGGTATTTTACATGTTAATTGACATCCTATAAACTTTATCAGGTTTTCAGCCGTTGTTATTGCTTTCCAGGAATTTCCTTATTCTTCAACATTGTTTTTTATTCTCGTAGACTTCTCTTAATGTTGGAACTCTCAAGTTTTTTTTATTTTTATTAAATTAATATCTATAAGGCGGGGGAGGGACATTCTATCAACAACTTTGTTGGCAGAGCCTAAAATACACCAACATCCCTGAATAATGCTATGTACCACATAAATGCTTACAGACTCAAATATAAACAATATATTCTAGCAGAAAACTGTTGCTTCTGTAGCACAGAAATTGGAACAACACTCACAAGGGACTTTCGTTTAGCACACACCTCAGCACACTGCTTTGACCTGCACCAAAGTCCAAATGCTTACTTGCCATCCCAACAAATACTCTCCTCTTTTATGCATTTTTCCAAAGCCAGAAAATTATCATTTTGTGCACGCTGCCAGCCTCAGTGACATATGTGCCATGTCATTCCAGTACCAGTACTCGTATGGTTCGTCTTGCTTACAATTTGCTCGTCTTGTGTGCAAATTTAGGCTACACCACTCTGGCCCTCTTGAACCTTTGAGGTAATTCTCCAGCATGCATATTTACCTATTTCTGAACCAGGTGTCAATTTATCGACTCAAATATAATTATAGTAGAAGAAAATTGACCTTGAATGACCCAGCAACGGTTGACATATCATAAAACCAGCTTGTCCAATCCTTTCATTTAATGGAATAAATTTAATGGAATGTAGAAGAGCATTGTCTTGCATAAATATATTCTTTGGCTTTAAGGTTCTGGGTTGCAAACTATACAACTCGAAACTTTTTTGTTCAAAAACTTGGAATAATTTATTGCATTTCTCTTAAAACCACCTTTAAATTTGAAAGAACTTTATTTTTTTTAAATTTTACTACCAACAGTTACTAGCACAAAAACCTTATTACTTCTCTCCTGTTGTCTTCTAAGTTGTGTGTTGGTTGAGTTTTGCCATGAAGAACCCAACCTCTTGCCAAGCTATCAGGTCCAGCCAATGTAGCTCTACATTCATCCTTAAAAAAATATGGCTCAGAAATCAGTTTTCATGTACTTCTTCATCCAACATTCATGTTTTTCTCTTTGATAATTTGTTTATTTTTATGTCTTTGGCCAATGTTCTTAATATGCTGCATCTTTTCTCTGTCAACATTTGCAAAATTAACTTTTCCAAATATTTTCCTGAAAGTCAATTCACTTTTCCTGTCTGTTACTCTTAATTTTCCTCAAAATTCTTTTTTTGACTTTATTAAACATGACAATTTCTTTCATTGCCAATGTTTTCAACTGATGGCAATCTGTATACATGTGAAATTAAGAAATATATTACTCAACACACACACACACATATATTTTCTGCGGGGTACAGAATTTTCTTATAGCATTAAGAAAGGTTAGACTGATTTTACTTTTCATGATTAAAAAGAAAAGTGAAAAAATAAAATGAACACAGCCAGCTGGTTTTGCCCTCTCTCAACCGAGCTTGATTGAGGGATTATATAATGCAATGAAAATAAAACATAAAAACGATATGTAATATTTTAATGAAGGTGGAATACAATTTAAATTAAAATCATGTTTAGTCCAAAATGTAGTTGTAGTGCCAACTACATAGGCAGCACAACCCAACAAAAATGTATGTGTATATATATATATATATATATATATAAAGATATTTTTGTAAGTACAAAATTTAATGATCGAAATAAAAGTGTAAAATTTAATATTACATTTACATATTAAAACAATGTTAAATAATAAAAAAAACACTCAACAACAGGGGGGAAGTAAACGGTTTCGCTCCCGCTCATCAGGCTTCTGGAATATATATATATATATATATATATATATATATATATATATATATATATATATATATATATATATACACACACACACACATGTGTGTGTGATATGAATTAAGTCTGACAATTATTTGATATATTTTCTGTTTATATGTTATTCTTATAAATATAATTTAAGTAAATGCTCTGTTTTTATTTAAACAGTGTTAATTGCATTTATCGACGTATTTTAAATTTTCTAATAAAAGCAGATTAGGTGACATTCACTTGGTATATTTCTCATAAGTATATTGGTTGGTTAATACCAGTCTTAGTGGGAAAATATTGACTTGCTTAATGAAATATCATATACAGCTTTTATTAAGTTGTCTAATCTAAGAATTTTTATTTTTATAGAATATTGATTGTAGTATTGACTGTGTAGCATGTATAAATTTTTTTTTTTTTTTTTTTTTTTTTAACAGGTCGTAAAACTGGCTGTGCTGAGGGCAAAGGTGGCTCTATGCATATGTACCATCACAATTTTTATGGTGGAAATGGCATTGTAGGAGCACAGGTAAGTAAATGAAATCATGAAAACATTTCTTTGTTGATATTTCTTTGGAATAAACCTTTTTTTTTTTTTTTTTTGCTTTTTTTATTTCTATAAACTGAAAGTGGCAAACATGTTTAGCAATTATGAAAAAAATTTCTTTTAAACCAATATTTATATGCTTATTTAATCTCTATTCTTGTCAATGCACTTAATTCAGTGGTAAATATTATTAATCACATTGATACAGTGAAAATTTCAGATCAAAATTCCATTAATAACCTTGTGTCATCTACAGACTTATTGATCTACCCAAAAATTGTTCATCTTTTAATTTAGCTGTCAAATAAAACTAATTCTGGTAAATGGACACATTTTCACAGCTTTAATTTTTTTTTTTTTTTTTTTTTTTTTAAAATGGTTCTTTGGAACTGATGAATTCAGGCACTTTTATTTGAGTCTTATTTTGAAAAACTCTTTCAGATTTTAATATGATGATAGGCTTATGGTGAATAGTGACAGTGAAAATGGAAATAAAATCAAGCATAAAATATTCTCTATTTATTCTAAGGAAATTAACATTCCGAGTTGTTGAGGCGCACCCACCTTCTAACTAGTAATGGACTGGTCTCTCTTATATAAGTTAGCTCTGGGGAGAGAGTCAGCGTCAGCAGTCCAGATAAGCTTACCCGGTACATACCGTTGGACTATAGACTTTGGATATTGTTTCGTACTAACCAACCTTCGTTCTACTAATCACTCTATTGTTAATTGCTTTTATGAATATACCAGTATTTTCCTCTACAACTGTGTTTGTCTTGATTCATACACCGACACGCGGGAAACTCACAACATCTCAACAGTGGCGACTTGGCTTCGAACAGAAATAAGAACCGATTTCCAACACGGAAAAATTTTAAAAGAGGTCAAGCATTTACAGCAAAGGATTACAAGTTATCGACAAAAAGAAAAAACTGTAAGTTAGACATTAACTTATTGATTAAATTGGAAGCTATAATAACCAATTTTTGTGCTAAAAAAAAAAAAATTTGTCGTGCCAGAAAATTTGAATTTTTTGCCCTCAGAGAGAGAAAAAAAAAACACAATTTTTCTTTTTTCTACACATACATAATCATGGAGCAATTTCAATCAACTATGCTGGAACTCATTAAGTATCAGATGCAAAGACAGCAAGAGAGTGAAGAACGTTTTCAGAAAGAGCAACTTAAAATTCAAGAAGAACAACTTAAATTTCAGAAAGAGCAAAAAAAGGAAGAAAACGAAAAAACGATTTCTGGAACTACACAAAATACAAGAAGAAAATGAAAAGAAACAGTTAGCAATGGCCAAACTTATACATAAAGCTATACTGTCCAAGCAGAAAGACTCGGATGAAAATATTTTTCCCAAGACACAATATGGTCAACGATCGAAAGTTTTACTTATAACCCAGAAGAGGAAAAGACTTTCGAAAGATACTACCATAGATATCAGGATTTTTATGAAGTTGATTGCCAAACATGGACAGATGAAAAAAAAATAAGATTATTGCTACGAAAACTGGGAACGGCAGAACACAACAAGTTTACAGATTTTATATTTTAAAAAGACAAGAGATTTAAAATTCGATGAAGCAATTGAATTATTAAAAGAGCTTTTTAATCCCAGATTTTCATTATTTCACAAAAGGTGGAAATGCCTGAATATCCAAAAACGCGAGGAGGAAGATTACACAACGTTCAAGGCTAATCGTAAATAAGACGTGTGACGATTTTTCGCTTGTCCCAATTATCGGGCAGACAATTTCAAGTGTCTAATATTTGTGCTAGCCTTAGTGTCTAAAAAAGATAGTGAAATCTTGAAGACGCATTTTAACAAAAACTAGAAAATGACCAAAACATGACACTACAAAAGCTAGCTGAGTACTATCAGCAATGCGTAAGCATTAAGCAAGATTCAGAAAAAATAGAAGAAACTGCTATCACAAATGTGAAGAAAGTAAATAGGAAGACTAGTTTCAGTTCTCCATCGCCGGAACGGAAGTGGTATCCTACTACAAGAACGAACAGAGGCTATAGAAAAAAAAACCCTCCGAAAGTGCATGTTATGGATGTGGCCAGTGGCACTGGTACAATGACTGCCCATATAAAAATAAAGCTTGCAGAAATTGCAAAAAAAGTAGGACATAAGATGTCAAAGTTTAGAAAATTAAACAGAAGTCGGTAAAAGTTACCAAGTTAGACGAAGATCAAGACCTGAATATTCGAAAATACCTGCATGTAAAAATGTACAACAAGAAGGTAAAAATGCAACTAGGTTCAGGATCTGACATTTCAATCATTAACACGCAAACATGGAAAAATCTAGGAAAACCAACGTTGCTAAAATCCAACAAAATAGCCAGGACGGTAACTGGAAAAAAAAGATAAAATTTGAAGGGGAAATATGGGTAAATATAACTTTCAACAATAAGTCGATAAAAATGAAAATGTTTGTAATGAAAAACACAAACAACCTGTTTGGGACTGACGAATCACTAAGTTCAACCTATGGACGTGCCCATTAGTTCTTTTTGCCACAACATTAGTGAAAGCAAAGACCATATAAAAATCTACAAGCAGAATTGAAAACGGAATTTCAAGTTTTTGCTGAAGGACTTGGACGTTGCACTGAAGCATCAGCAAAAATACAGCTGAAGAAAAATATCCAACCAATTTTAAAAAAAGCGAGCATCCCTTTTGCCGCATTAGAGAAAATTGATCAAGAACTCAAAGACTAACGAGAATTGGTATGATCTCGAAAACAGAATACAGTGACTGGGCAGCTCCGCTGTCACGTAAAGAAGTCGGGCGAATTGGCGTCTGCGCCCGATTTTTAAACGACATTTAATAGAAGAGTTTCACTATCCACTACCAAGTCCCAAAGAAGTGTTCAGTTAAGTTAAATGGCGGAAAAATCTTTTTAAAAAATAGATCTTAGCGAGGCATACTTGCAAGTACCCATGGATAACAAAAGTGCAAAGTTACTATGTATTAACACACATAAAGGCTTGTTTAGATATCTAACGCCACCGCTCGGGGTGAAGACAGCACCCTTAATATTCCAGAAAATTATGGATACGATGTTATCCGGGTTAGACTACACAATAGCATATCTGGAAACGATATTCTTGTAAAAAGTGAATCGGTAGATGAACACAAACACCATTTACTTAAAGTTTTCAAAGGTTAAGAAGGTATGGATTTAACAAATGCGATTTTCTCCTGGAAGAGATCAAGTATCTGGGACATATAGTGAATAAAGAAGGAAAAAGCCAGATAAAAGTCGAGCTTCAGCAATAAAAAATATGCCTGAGCCAAAGGATATTAAATCCTACAAAGTTTTTTAGGCTTGGTGTCATATTACCAGGACTTTATCCCAGACCTCCACATTCTACGCGCTCCCCTTAACGATCTAAAAAAAAAAAGAAAAACCTTGATTTGGACAAAAGAATGCGAGCAAGCATTCAAGGATATAAAAGAAAAATTAACATCAGATCTATTTCTTGTACATTTTGATCCAAAGGTAGATATCATCGTGGCGAAGCCATGCCAGTACACACGGCGAGGTGCGTGCTTATTGCACAAGTGGAAGAATGGAAAAGTTCGACCGATCGCTCATGCAAGCAGATCGCTACTACCTGCTGAACTAAACTATTCACAAATTGAGAAAGAGGCATTGGCGATTATCTTCGCTGTAACAAAATTCCATCGATACATACATGGACGGTTTTTCACGCTACAGACAGACCACAAGCCTCTGGTAACTATATATTCGCTCAAAAAAGGGTCTGCCAACTTACACCGCAAATAGATTGCTTAGGTGGGGACAATTTTATTAAATTGTAATTTCAGAATACAATATTTGTCCACCCACAAAATTGGTCACGCAGATGGGCTATCAAGACTCATCCCAAAAGCAACAGAACCTTTAGAGGATACGGTAATCGCTTCCCTCAGAGCAGAGGACGAGGTTGAAGAAAATTTGGCAAACGCAATAATGAGAATTACCAGTATCGCTTTTTAAGGACATAAAAAAGAAGCAGAAAAAAGACAAATATATAATAGAAGTAAAAAATAAGCTAGCCAGTAAAGATGAAAAATTCAAGAGACATTCTCTCTATGCGATAATGTGCTATTATACAGTGAAAGGTGGTAATCCCTAACACACTCCAAAAAAAGAATACTGAAAGACTTTCATGCTGGTCACCCGGCATAAATAGAATGAAGAGCCTCATGAGAGCATACGTCTACTGGCCAGGTATGGACAACGACATCGCATCTATGGTCGGCAGATGTAAAGGCTGCATTTTGGCATCAAAATCACCACAAATTCTACAGAAGCCATGCACAAAAAAAACCGACAGGCCATGGTCAAGGATTCACATTGATTTTATGGGTCCAATTGACGGATGGCATTATTTGGTCGTAGTCGACAGTTTTAGCATCTTTAAGCAAATAGAATCATTACAAAGTAAAGGAGTATACAGATTATATTTATTTTGGTTGCTTCAATCTAACCAGGAGATAAAGGGTGTTTCAATAAGAGGGATCAAAATCAGCAGTAAATAAATCAGTTTTATTGGTGAAAATTTATTTATTTCTCTATTGGATCATATTATTTAAATCATGGCAATTATGGGTGAAAAAGTAATATCGCCCAAATGTCCGCCAAATCTGAAAGAAAAAGAAAAAATCATTAGACGCTTAAACTTAATTCACATTTAAAATCGGTCCAAGTTATTGGAACAACCTTTATAGAGGGCAGCCTGAAATTTATTCTCCCATTTCATTAGACAATGCATATTATTCCAGGCTAATTTTGGAAAATAAACCAAAATGCGACAGGCAGACTTGCACAGATACAAAGTAAAAAGTGGGTGTGAGTTTTTATCTAATGCATGGATTTGATTTAAATTTGCAGGAAATGTTGAATATACAACCATCTTCAGTTTAATGTTTTAATAAACATGAAATATTTGCTTTACCAAAAACCTGACATAGCTACCCAAATGCTGAACTAACGTGTGAATAGAAATCTAAGTAAAAGCAAAAGAAAAGGCCACACAAGTTAATAAATTGTGTCCAAAAAGGCAATGAGAGTTTAGTTCAAGGCTATTCTTGTACTAATCAGCAATATGTTTTCTGTGTGAATCTGATGTCTTAGTTGCAAACAAATGAACATGTAATGAAGAAAGAAGGCTTGGAGAATTTGACACTCTCAAGCCATTGAAGGTAAGGCATGCAGAAGAAAAGCATCAAGTAATTGACCTAACAAGTGATTGTGTAAATGGATGATGGAATAGATTGGGAGGGATAGTAAAGGGAAGAAATGTTGCTTAGAGTTATAAAGGATAGGAAGTTATGGAGAGCCATGATCTCTTTAAGGGACATGGCATATAAAAGATGTTGTTAGTGCTGTGATGGTGGGTGGATTTACTTTGTCACTTGAAAAGAAAAAAAATCCAGATTCTTAAAACATTCGACAAAAAAATCTACAAGAGAAATTAAGTCTCAAATAAAAATATCCTGAAAGTTACTTGGTTGAACTTCTGGCTGGGAAGATTTTCTCCAAATTACCTCCCTTCTGATTTTCACGCCATATCAGACTTTGCCCAGTGCTTTGAAAATAAATAATACATTTATTTACTTAACTCAAAGGTTTGTTTTGAACCTTACACTTCTTGAAAAAGAAATATTTACTTCAAACTCTTGATTTATCAATGAAATCAATACATGGCAGACTGTCAAAAAAGAAGCCAAAATTTAACCGACATAGGCTATTAATTCAATGAATTTTATCCTGGGACATTAATTCTTTTTATCCTGGGACATTAATTATTTTTATCCTGGGACATTAATTATTTTTATCCTGGGACATTAATTATTTTTATCCTGGGACATTAATTATTTTTATCCTGGGACATTAATATAGCACAAAGCATTGAAAAACAAACTGAAGAATTACAGGCATATTGAACAAGAGCATCATGAAATTTATGGAAATTCAAGATGGCAGTATCATGAATTAGTAACCATTATTTGTTTACTATCTCACAAGTGAGTCTGTTAGACTCTTCTAGTGGTTGTTGCTACTTTCACCTTGGAGCAAGTATTTAGTTTCATATAACATTCAAAAGAAACTTGATTTCACTTTCCAAAAGATAAACTTTGTTGAGGGTGCAATGTGTCTAGAATGTTTAAAATATCCTGGCATATTTTTGTTGTGGTTTTTATTTTTAATGAAAATTTGTCTAATTAAAAAAAAAAAATCTCTATACATCATTTGCTATTGGGCAACATTCAGGAGAACCTATCATAAGACAAAACAAATGACATGAACAGCCTAAATGTTGATTGAAGAGGCTTGTCATGAATTTAAAGTTCTGCATAAAAGCAGTACATAGAATATGCTTAGAGAAGGTGAATTTTGTGAATATATTGGTCAAAAACTAGTCACTTGATGACAATTTTTTTTTTAAAGCCTGTCAGCACTGATGATGACACAGCGAAGTTTTGTGTTGAATTTAATTTTGTTGTCAGATGTTGGCATTAAAGATTTGGTTCCAAAAAATGTCATTTATAGGCAAAATATATTTTTGCAGATTTTTGGTTTCTGCTGTGTTACATGAAAGATTTGTTCAAGATTTCTCTCATTATTCTTTGTCAAACACATCTAAATTTTTTTCTCTCTCATCTCTCTTTTTTTTTTTTCTCTTTCGAATTTAAGAGAAAAAGAAATCAACCCCAAAATCCACTATCTTCCTCCTTGCTTGCTCTCCCTCCCTCCTTGCTTGCTCTCCCTCCCTCCTTGCTTGCTCTCCCTCCCTCCTTGCTTGCTCTCCCTCCCTCCTTGCTTGCTCTCCCTCCCTCCTTGCTTGCTCCTCCCTCCTCCTTGCTCTCCCTTCCTTGCTTCCTCCCTCCCTCCTTGCTCTCCTCCCCTCCTCCCTCCTTGCTTGCTCTCCCCCTCCCTCCTTGCTTGCTCTCCCCCCCCCTCTTGCTCTCCCCCCTCCCTCCTTGCTTGCTCTCCCTCCTCCTGCCCCTCCTTGCTCTCCCTCCCTCCCTGCTTGCTTGCCCCTCCTCCTCCTTGCTTGCTCTCTCCCTCCCCTCCTTGCCTCTCCTCCCTCCTTGCTTGCTCTCTCTCTCCTCCCTCCTCTTGCCCTCCCCCTCCTTGCTTGCTTGCTCTCTCTCCCTCCCTCCTTGCTTGCTCTCTCTCTCCCTCCCTCCTTGCTTGCTCTCTCTCTCCCTCCCTCCTTGCTTGCTCTCTCTCCCTCCTCTCTCTCCCTCCCTCCTTGCTTGCTCTCTCTCTCCCCTCCTGCTTGCCTCCTCCTCCTCTCTCCTCCCTCCTTGCCTCTCCCCCTCCCTCCTTGCTTGCTCTCTCCTCCTCCTCCCTCCTCTCCTCCCTCCTTGCTTCTCTCTCTCCTCCCTCCTTGCTTGCTCTCTCCCTCCCTCCCTCCCTCCTTGCTTCTCTCTCCCTCCCTCCTTCTCTCTCTCTCCCTCAGCACATTCAATTTTGCTTCTATAAAATCTACATTGTGTTCAGAAAAAGGAGTAATGTCTGGACCAATTTGCAGTTTAAGTTTTTTTGTTATTGTACTCCCCCCCCCTTTTTTTTTTTTCATTTTCTTTTTTTTTTTTCATTTTCTTTTTTTTTTTTTCATTTTCTTTTTTTCATTTCAGACCCCCCCCAAAAAAAAAACACACATCAGCAAATCTGTGCCTATTGAACTGTCCCCATTTTCCTCCACTAATGAAATTTTCCTGGTCAACTTAAATTCTTTAATTTTTATTCTTCTCTTCCCTTTTTTTGATCACAGGTTCCTCTTGGTGCTGGCATTGCATTTGCTATGAAATACCAAAAGAAGCCAAATGTTTGTATCGCTTTGTATGGGGATGGAGCTGCCAATCAGGGCCAATTATTTGAAGCCTACAACATTTCAAAATTGTGGAATGTACCTGCCATTTTTGTATGTGAAAACAATGGTTATGGCATGGGAACAAGTGTTGATAGGGCAGCCGCTTCTACAGATTACTACACACGTGGTGATTACATTCCTGGCATTTGGGTAAGTTATTCATTCCTCTTGTGACTCCATCATTCTTTCTTCAATCCCAAAACTTCTCACCCCAACCTGTGCCCCTTCTTCATATTTTTTTTTTTTTAACACATTCTGTAATACTTTGAACAATGTGCAATAATAAAAATAAGTTATGGATGGTGTGTTCAAAAAGATTGAATGTAGGTAATACACAGATATTCATCAATGAGAACTTAAGCACACATGATTATGCGTCATTGGCCATAAAATGCACTTGAGACAACCAAGACTATTCAGGCTAAGTGCTGTATTTTCTACCTGTCAAACTCGGGTGGAGCATTACAATTGGCTCCCTTCTTTTCTTCTAAGAAAACAAAATATATTAGTCATTGATTTGTATGAATACAGATCTCCTATTTTGTATTTGTTCCCCCACCCCCTTCCTTAATTGAGCATTTTAGATCTGAATAAAATGAAATTACAAATGATATTTGAGAAAGCCAAATCATTTTTACTATCACTAGTAGACTTGAGGCTAAAGAAAGGCTGACACAATCTGTTATCAAAGATTTTATAGAAAATGATGAAAAGGATCTTTCTTTGTGATTAACTAACATTCGAAGTAATGGATAGTGGCTCTGACTGAGGAATCGGAGATCCGAGTTTGAACTCCAATTGAGTTCATTACATTCAATTATGTGCTAATACCCATGAGGAAGATATGAATTCTCTTCTCCTCCTCCCAGCTATGGGTAAATAGCAGGAGAGACTGAGGCAACCAATCTAAGAGAAGGGAAAACTCTGAATTCAAATCCAGCCTGGGGAGGGTTGGGTTCTGTCAGGCTATCTTGCCAAGAAACACCACTTCTACTGTGACTGCAGTACACTTGGTGCCCCTATGATCCTACGAGTCATGGGGGGGGGATTTGCTTGTGAAAAGATTTTGTTAAAAAAAGATTTTTGTTTCATCAGTTTTAAGGTTTTTTTTTGTTTTTTTGTTCACCTCAACAAATCAACATCTTTAAATATTAGCAGAAGTCTCTCCTGCTTTCATGGTGGCAATTGGCATTATGGACAAAATCATGATTTATTTTTTGGTCATCCATACTTCATGTGTCTCATAATACCCTCATAAATTTAAGTGGGCTTCCATCACAGGAGGAAAGATAAAAACTCTTAAGAGTTTTTTTTTTTTTAATTAATTCACCCCAAGCAAGGTGATAAAAATGCAAGCAGCTACTAGGAATGAAGTGAATGAGAAGATTTTAGAAGCCCAATTCTAAACAGGAAACAAGGGATAAAGCTTTTCTCCTGGTAAAAAGATGGGAGGGTGTGAACAAGATAAGTGACCCTATCTACTCCTATTAAAGCAACATACATAGCCTTTTTATAGAAATAGACTAATTTAAAGTCAAATCTGAGTAAAATAATTGGTGTGTGTGTGTGTAATGAGTCTTAATGGCGCATATTACTTTATAAGTAAATTTCTAATAAATTTGCTAATCATCTTTGACCTTTTTTGTTTCAATTTAACATCTGTCTGCTAATGTGACATAAAAGTGCTGACATTGGTGTTCAAATCCTTGTCGTCATTCCTTTTAAAGATTTTAATACTAAATAAGCATTAGTGTCATTAATGAAAATCTAATCCAGATTTCACTTTGCTTGTTGCTGTTTTTGACAGCAATCCATACAGTGAAATTTGTTTCTGCCAAAAAAAAAAAAATTGATAGAATTTTCTCTAATTTTATTGTCCTTCCAATTCTTCATAGGAAACCCTCTACATCCTGATATCTTTTCTTTTTTTTTTTTTTTTTTTTTTTTTTTTTTTTTAAATTCTCTCATTTCATCTTTTTAACAGATTGATGGTATGGACGTATTGGCTGTAAGAGAAGCTACTCGATTTGCCCGTCGCTATGCTCTTAAGCAAGGTCCTATTCTTTTGGAATGTGTCACCTACCGATACAGTGGACACAGTATGAGTGATCCTGGTACCAGGTAAGAGGATTACTCTAATCTCTCTACTCATAAAGCAATCATTCTTCTCAATGTGTTAGCTTTAAATGTTGTAATCTTTGAGAATTTTAGCTTTCATCTTTTTAAAATATTCTAAATTCAACATTTGCTTGCTGGATGTATTATTGTAGCCTTGTGCTAGACTCCTTTACATTTTAATAAATAACTAAATCTAGTTACCAATGCAATATAAAACTAGATTCACATTTCCAAATTTTATCCATTACACTACTGGGGGTGGTCTTTTCTTTTCTTTTTTTCTTCTTTTTTTTTTTTTTTTTTTTTTTTTTTTTTTTTCTTTTTTTTTTTTTTTTTTTTTTCTTTTCTTTTTTTCTTTTCTTTTCTTTTTTTCTTTTCTTTTCTTTTTTTTTCTTTCTTTCTTTTCTTTTCTTTTTTTTTCTTTTCTTTTCTTTTCTTTTTTTTTCTTTTTCTTTCTTTTTTTTTTTTTTTTTTTTTTTCTTTTTTCTTTTTCTTTTTTTTTTTTCTTTTTTTTTTTTTTTCTTTTCTCTTTTCTTTTCTCTTTTCTCTTTTTTCTTTTCTTTTCTCTTTTTTCTTTTTTCTTTTCTTTTGGGGGGTTATATTAAGGAGTTTTACATTATGTAATTTTGTTATTTTTTGGTTTGAATACGTTTTTAAAGTTGCATTAAAAAATTTTGCTCTCTGCTTCATACATAATATATGAGTAAACATTCTTTGGAGTAATTGGAAAAAAAAAAAGACACATTGTATTGTTTACTGTCACTAATTTTTGTTGAGTGTTTGGATATTACAGATCTTATTCAACGTTACTGCTGCTAATATTTCTATAACAAAGTTATCAGGTCATATTTTAATAAATTTTATAAATGGTTTTGCACATCAGTTTTCTCACAGCTAAGGGAATGACACTAAATGTAAGTAATTTAAGATATCTAATAAAAGTTAATTTGAAGAAATCTTGTGTCTATCTGGTAAAATATAGCAGACATACATTTTTTTTTTTTTTTCTCTTTCTCACCTTCCATAAAAAGTTACCGTACTCGGGAAGAAATCCAGGAAGTCCGAGAGAAACGGGATCCTATTTCGGCTCTGAAGGAACGCATGATATCCAAAAACTTGGCTCTTCCTGATGAATTGAAGGTAAGATGACAAACTAAAACAGGATTTTTTTCCTTTTCATGTTTCTCCAATTATGTCAGTATTTTGTCTCCATCCTTTTCAGATGGACTAGCCGCATCTCTCTCATCAAACAGGTGCATTTTGTTTTACAACAGAATCTAATAATACCAATTAGCCTTAAAGGAGAGTATATGCTATTGAATCAACTTGAGCAACATGGGAGCCCTTCAAAGGCGTGGGGGAGAGGAATTCAAAGTTTAAGGAAACCTTGAGTTAGAATTGTGGGCTGGGTAGATGGATTCAGTTCTGACAGCATTCACAGAGGCAAAGTACATGTATTTGAAATACATTCTTCATTTCTTTTACCCAAATTCTTGCATTTGATTTCCATGGAAACAACCAAATTTTCTTAAGTAAAGATGCCTCTCTATCATAGAGCCTGATCATAATCCTACAAGAAATATATCTAATTATATATATGTAATATAGATGCAGTGGGTGTGGTGTAATCTGTATATAGCTCACAAATTGAATCTTAAAACTGGTCCAATTTAGAAACAAATTCAATCTGGAAAGGGTTAAATGTAAATTCTTGAAGGTGTCATTTCGAAACAAACTCAGTGACATTGAATATTGGTAATTTCATTTGTTGGGTATGGGCAGAGGAAATTCATCTTTTGTTTTTGTTTATTGTTTAAAATTTATGCTTTACCATAAGCATCTCTGATGTGTCTGTTGCGAGTTTAAATTTTCTGTTCCCATTCCTTTTTTTTTTCTTTTTATGAAGATGTAACCTCATTGGTCATTGCCTGATTTTCCAAGTAAAAAATAAATTCCCCATAAAAATTTTTGAAATAATTCATTAGTATTACAATTATTTATTTATTTTTTATTTTTTTTCTTTACTTTCTTGGTTCATGCTTAGTAGGTAGGATAGTTGTGACAGTGATTATATTACGGTAAAATTTAGGATTACGTCAATACAGTGGCAACAACTCTGTAGACTAAGATTTCATTTTGTGCACAACAACCATGTGAAACCTATTGTGTGTGTGTGTGTGTTTTTATATATATATATATATATATATATATATATATATATATATATATATATATATATATGATCGATATGTCACAAAGAAGACTTCCTAATGTTATCTGTTGAAAAGTGCCTGAAAATCATACCATGAGTTGATCCGTGCCTTGTGAGTGAAATTGGGTAGACAGAACCCTTAGGGTCTGTCAATGGCTATGCTAGCACAAAATCAGTCATCGTGACCAAGGGTTTGAGCGTGCTGGCCTTGTTCAGACTGTTGATGACAACTAGATAATGTGCTCTCTCCCAGAAACTGTAACTAAGGTTCAATCAGCATAGTTGCAGTATAAAATCACAGATGGGCTCTGTGTGTGTTGAGCAAACACAAATGTGCCTGAGCAGGCGTCTACAATAGGGATTGGCTATCCATCCTAGTAGACAGGTATCCTCGAATACGAGTGGTTAGCTATTATTTATATCTATAAAACAGAATGTGTGTGTGTGTGTGTGTGTTCTATTTTGGCACATCCTGATTTCTCAATGAAATTGTACACACGTTGCAAATTTACCCAAATATGTCTAAACCAACTTTTTCATCTCCAGCCCCCTTCCTCGGGTTTGACAGAAAAATCAATAAAACTAAAGGTGGGTACAACTTTTTGCAAAGACCAAGGCAAAGTTAGACGTGAACAAAATTTTTACTGGATTAGCTGACGTACTTAATGTCACGAGGTTTATGTAGAGTGTTTGATAGTTTTCCTTTACACAAAAAGCAGCCAAAACTGAAGAAATTGGGTTTTTTGTATTACAAAATAAAAACTTGAATAATTTCCTTTTTTTTTTTTTTTTTCTCCAATTTTCTGCAAAAAATTTGCCATCATGCAAGAAATAAGATAATGTGGTTTTAGTCCTGCTTGCTTCCCCATGTATAACGAAAAACTGTTAAAAAAATCTGTTTTTCAGCAATAACTACCTGGTTTTTCATCCGATGCTTTCCAAATTTGACATGTAAATTCCATATGACACACAAATTGTTTTGCATGAATATTTGATTTAGACTATTTCAGTTAAGTGGACAAAATCTCTGTCAAACTAGGTTCAAAATCGACTTTTGCCATTTCGCCAATAGTTTTTTCATATGATTCCATCCTAAATTGGCATTCGAACAACTTTGATGCAAAGATTGTTTGAGAAGGATTATTGAAGCATTAAAAGGGAAATATTCTCAAAGAGCCTTTTATTAACCTCAGCTTTACAGTAAACATGCAAAGAAGGAGGCTATGGGAAATTTACTAAATATCTAAAACATTGAAACAATTTAACCCCAAGCAATGACCACACAAGAAGGTTTTATTGATGGAATACCTTTATTAAGAACAATCAAACACTTGCAAAGAACATACCATAAAAAAGATGAGGTGGGAGTATGCTTAGTATACCAACGAATGATGCATGCAAGCAGGGACACAGGCAGACAATTCTAGATTTGCAGTTATACAATTACACCCATGTACACCTGGGCAATGTTGGGTACCTCTGCTAGTTTATATATATATATATATATATATATATAAAATCCTTATTGCAGATCTCTGTTCAGGCACATTGATGGTGGTTTGGTGCCCACTTGTGGTTTATACTGTAACTAATTTAAGCAAGCCTTACAGCACATTTGGAAGTGAGTGCCTAATCCTGTGTGATCAACTATTTGAGCAAAGCCAATATCTTCCGACCCTCTTTCAGAATGTCTTGTAACTTCATGCTAAGCAGGCAGCCCCTCTTCCTTCTTTGATTGCTCTTCTGCACCTGTCACCTCTAGAATTCAGTCGGAGATTAATTAAAAAAAAAAAAAGAAAATATGGTTTCTCATAAGTGAATTGACACCACAATTGGCTTTGTTGCCTTTGACCCAAGAGACACTTTGCCAGGGAAATTTTTGCAACTCCCATTATGTTGACAATTTGTTCAGCCAAAGGTCACCATTCTGCAGGTGTTCAGTTTATTGTTTTTCATTCCGACATCCCGCAAAATGAATTCATTTAGTTTTAACCCAATTCTTCTCATGTCAGATCCAGGCATTGGTTGCTGAAGGCTGTCAACACTTGACTTGTTCTTACAAACTGAGAATTGCTTTTAGGTGGTTATCTGGACTATTGTACATATCCCAATTCTCTGGGAACAATTTTATTATCAGTCTCTTTCCTTATATTGTTTAATCCCTTTTCATGCTAAGTTAATCAACATTATCTCGTTTTCATTGATTTTCCAAGTCGTTATTATTAATTTCCAGCAACCCAAATAGTGTTACAATAATAGTATGGTATAGTATGTGATTGTATGCATATATGAAAAGCACTTAGCCCCAGGATCCAATTCTTAAAATCTAAAACATCAGGATTAGGAGATCCTGGTTTTTTTCCTTTGGCTTGATCATAATGTAACTTTGAAAAGTTTTTTTTTTCACAAGACTGGTAATGGGTCACTCATTGTGGGTCATCCTTATTACTTTAGTGCAGTGGTTTTTATGTAGGGCATGTTCACTGTCTTTAACTTGTTTTCAATTCTTCTTTTTTAGAAAATCGATCTT